ACAGAGTACTGACAGATAAAAGATTTTCCTTTAGAAGTATAGAGATGAAGAAAAGTCTCTTCATCACTTTTCACTTGAAGACAGTAGCTGCCACAACCACCATGTGTTTATTTCGATTACGAAAAATGATGAGTTTGCATTACCAATCAGCTTACCAAAACTCTTTCTTGCTAACCACACGCATCTTATTTTAAGGAAAGGAGAAAATTCCAGTGCGATCAATAAGAACAACAAAAGCAATATCAACAACAGTTAACAGCCAGAACGGTAAAAGACAGAAAAAATACAATAAATTCCAGTGATCTATCAGATCAGTATTTAGTGACTGGGAGCGCGTTTCTGAAAAAATTCACATGCGACAAGAAGCAAAAAATAATGAAACATAACAATAGTACTCATGCAATTCCTTGTAGTAATACTTTTAAAGAAATACAAATGAAACAGGATAAAAAAGTTAAGAAGTATGCATGGAATGAACAGAGGGAAAGAGAAGACAATTGCTGAAGAATTTAGAACCTCTCAAATCATAATACAAATCTTTATTCAAAAGTATATAAATCTATATTCACAACTTTGAGTGGATTTCAGAACTAACCTCTGAAATCAAACGGAAAACAGATGAGGCTGCAAAAACCTTGAAAGATTTAACACGAAGTGTATCGAAACCATGGATGAGCAGGATGATTAAGCTAAAAACAATCATATGTAGAATCGAGTTTCCGCAGAGTAGCTGCATTGAATGCGATTCTTGACCGTTTCGGGAAATGCCGAGAGTGGGACGGTCCTTGCATCGTTGCTTGTATTGCAAAAAGTTTGTGTGTGCTGTTAGCCTTCAAGAACTACAGAGGTCAGCAAACTCCGCAATCACTAGCATTGCAGTTCGTCCATATTTGCAGAAGCGGTTCATAGAGGACTAAGTGACACATGACACTTACTTCGAGGACAACACGCTACACGAGGTCTAAGTAATGCAACAGTGGTATGAAAAGATGACAAGGTAAGAGAGCAATCCATCGTTATGAAAGGCAAGCTTCATTAACTTCTACAGAACTCTCAATCAGTTTGAAAGGTTAAAGGCTTGAAGGTAAAAACCTAAGAGAGACTAAAAAGAGTACAAGGAGGATGAAACTCACAGTTGCTCCTAAACATGACTGTCATGAAGTTCTAAGCATGCTGACGGAACGTGCGAGAATTAACAAAATTCACATTAGAAATTATGATTTCCGATATGCATTTAAAGTAAAACGCTAGATTTGAGCTGTTTCGAAGGCGGTTATAGAACAAAGTGACCGAAAAACAGCCTTCCAGGTACAAAGTAGGAACAGGCGAAATCAGGGAGTTCTGGGCAACGACGTCAAACTCGGAAATGAGAGAGGATGATGATATCAATAAATATTTGATGAACCTGGTTCCAGAAAATGAGGTACAGAATGAAGCCGAATTTCTATTTGTTCAATTGAAAGCGGTGGAACCCGGCGGAATCACATCACAGTTCATCAAAAAATGAACTTCGTTGTATCCACTTTCTATGTAATATTAAGAGGAATTTGTTTCGCTGGGAAGGGATAGGACTCATGGATCTACAAAGGGATTACCTACCCCATTCCAAAAGGTGTCTCAAGTAAAGGCAGCAACTTTAGGCCAATAATCTGCATGCCGAATTTCTACAAGTTAACAACAAAATATTGTTACGAAAAGTGTAATTAGATACTGCCACGAGGAGGCTACTTGTAAATAACCAATTAGGAATTGTTGCTCAGGTTCAAGATGCGAAAGAGCAAGCACTGCTGAAACTTGCGGTGCACAGATAGCATGATAACTAGTTATACACTCTTATAACATTGAAAATGCATTCGATTCAGTAAACCACGTGTATGTGATTATGTACGTTGAAAGACTCAAAATGCCTGCGTGGATCAGCAGTTTCCTGAAAGAATCATCTTTAAAAGAGCAGTTATTCCAAGATGATAACCTTCCCAATGCTATTATTTTTGTGCATGGAATCATTGGGCAATTTGCTCAATATGAGGTACACAAAGATGGCGGTTCCAACTGATCAAGAGTGCAGATAACGAACCATCTATTGTTTGTGAATCATCTCAAGATCTTTACGATCGACAAGGATATTACGAAAGCTATGGAAATTATGAAATTATGAGAACAGAAATGTTACTTATATTCTAGTAAAGAAATGACCTTCGAAATGACACTTCCACAGACCTCTAGTAGATTTTAAACATGAAAATTCTGCTCAACCCTTAAGCGTTGAATCCCTTAATAATATCTGCTTCTGTACAACAGCGTCAAATACTGCTGTTAATTACAACTAATTTCCATACAAAAAACGTACGTTTTTACATATATGCGAGTGAACGAACGTGTTCGCATGTAACTCCAACATAACTCTTTCTTTAAGATAATTATGACATAGCTTTTTCTTCTTCCCAATCTCCATATTCATGCTAAATATAAAATTCAAATATGAGTAGATGTCCAAAACGATTGTCATTCATGCTTACAAATATGATTAATTAATATTCTTAACTAATAGTGATCATAAAATGAAAGAAGTTGCTCGTATAATGAAGGAGAGTTGGAAAAGTTGAGTAAAAGATGTGAATTAAGAAAGGGATGCAAATAAGGAGCGTAATAAGTTACTTCGTTAACAATAAAATAATTGACAACAAGCACTAAAACCAAAGAAGATTCTTCTAAAAGTAAAAGACTGTTATAGTTCCATCACAGATGAGATGTGAACAAAACTGCAACATGCAACTGCAAAATAAGGTCTTCCACAGCTTTTCATCCACTCCTCCTCTGATTCATGGCAAAGCTCAGAAGAAATCGAGGAAACATTAGCGTCTCATAGTTGTAAGGGAAAACAAAAACAACAACCATGATACAAACTCTGCGTACAGAGGGTTTGGTTTTTGCGCTGATTAAAAGGAAAGATGCGAATTTTGCCGACATACATAATAATAACAATAAAGTAGTAGCGATAATATAGAATGCAGTGTTGAGAGAGAACGGAAAAAAGAAGGAGCACCGATACATGCATGACTGAGCCACTTCATGTCTGTCCTTCTTTCTTCACAGTGTAAACATAGCACTCTTTATACGAATCACTCGACAAAGAAGGCACTATGACTCTTCTTCCATGACAGACAACAGTTGTGAGAATCGTACTCTATTATTTAAGTCACTTACTAAACTGTTATCATAAAAAAAATACTCAGATGAGCATGTCAACCAGAAACTTAAGTGGCAAAACGACAGAAAAGTGACACCAGAAGTTTGTTTTCGAAATCTCCTAAATTCCTGTCTGCTTTACCCTACACTTCCGTTCAATCCTCATCGCAAACTATGCTTCCACACAAATCATTGTTTCAGCATATGTACATTTGAAACAGTGCTCTGTACATCTATCTCTCCACTCAATCTCTATCCGGACATAGAACTACACTTCATGTCTCCCAGCAGTCCACCCTTACCATTACACATGGATTCTTGTTACCATTATACCAGATAAAAAATCGTACTGTAAAACTTTGTTTCCTCATTTATGGCCAAGAATCCACTACCCTGGATCTGATACATCAAATCCGTCACACTACAAATCGAGGACAGATCATCTCGAACAGCAAATGAATCATGGCCTCTATCACATTTGAAGCTAGGAATGAAATTTAGAGAATACCACTCAGTCAAACAACCATGAATTGCAGCACTCAAAACTAGTAAAATTTTGTTCCTATAGCTCACACACAACACCACAAACAGTTCTGATGATTCTCGCACCAAGCTAAAGCGCAACACACTCTTTACCATGACTTGATATTAATCACGGAAGCGTGAAATCTTCAACCTGTATCAAATTCTTCTCACAACTCGGAATCAGCCAATCCGTAGCCTCTGTAATGGAAATATCAACTTTATGTGAAGAAAGAGAATAAAATATTGCAAATACAAAATTCAACATGCAAACCTTATTATACACAAGCACAGATGTCTATATATATGGTAAGGCGAATAAAATATCCCAGACAACCGTACAAATTTTAGGAGAATGGCAATCATGACTAAAATTTTCGTATTCACTTTGTTCACGATATCACTTTTGGCAACCAAAAATGGCAGATCCCATGATATGCTTATCAAGGACAGATTTACCACAGCCACCCACAATCTCTTCCACCCATGTATGATGATAAAGTACATCAAATACCGAGAATTAAACCATCATATATCTGAATGCTTCAAAACAAGCAATTCTATGTGACCTGCCGAATACAACAACTCAATAATAAATTGACTAATTATGTTAATGGCAATGACAACAATACATCACTATAAAATAATACAAATAATCACACAAAATAAGTTGTTCCACATTACATATAACACGTGCCAAATAGTGAAAATAAAAAAACAATACCTAGAGCAATCTTTCTTCTATCCAGCAATTTTTTGAAGATTTTTGAAGAAAGATGACGTTCAATGCAGAACAAAAAAATGTACTTGAAGTTATTACGGGAGTATTTTGAATGGCATTGATAAATAAGAATAACTAATTCCAACTAATCAACAGATTACGCACTGGAGATACTAAAAGATTAAAATCGTCGCATGTTGCTCATGAAATAATTCTCAGGAAGTCGTTGGTCTATAGCATTCCGAAAATTGAATAGCTAATAAAAATTAAGATCAGAAATTCCATATGACACAAGCTAGGAAAAAAAAAACTACACCACAGTAAGCACACTTTATGAATTTGTGCTTTAATGGATTTGCGATTCCTGACTACAGTCCAAGTACCGAAAAGTTATGTTGTTACCGATCTGTATTATTGCACTCATAACAATGGCACTTCGTACAATGCAACTTTTTTACATGCACTTTTTTACTTGAGAGTTCCATACCAATTTTTAATTTTTCCGCTCACGATTTATCAAAACTTGGAGCGCAAATTATACTAGTTTTGCTTTCTAACACAATAAGATTCAGTTATTCGTACTTTTGTAATTGAATGTATCCAAATAATCAATCACGGCCGTGTAACAGAATGCGTATTGTTCCTGGAACAAGTTTAAAAATATAGATTTGGTTCTATGAAGTGCCCCTCCGTTCTCACAAACTGTTCTTATTAAAAATGAGATTAGCGATAATAATTGAAAAACACTCGAAATGATATTTTTTACAACAATCCTAAAGTTATAGAATGACAAGAAAAAAAAGATAACAGTATCGTGGAGTCTCAACTTTAAATCGATATTTCTGCGAAAAATAAAGGAATAAATTTCAAAACCTACAAATTTAGTAAACATAAGTGGTCGTTTCTGTTGCAAACTGCGCACAGTTTGAAAAACATCAATACGATTTTCTGCTTTAAGCCTTTCGAGCAATAATGATACACAGCAATACACACCCGTTTTGAATGAACCGTCTCTAAAAAAATGAATTGAAATCACAATTCTTTTCGAATAATACGTTCCTTTAAAATAAGCAACTCTCGATGTGGCAGTAACTTTTATAAGATATTTCTCAAGTTTCTGATGAAGATCAACTACTGAACTTTGCAAATTGGTACGAGAGACAAAACCCTTGTTTGCTTTTCATCTTGGACTGATAACTCAAAAACTGGGCATGTCAAGAATTGCTTGCTGAAATATTACTGATTTGGTACTGAAATAAAATATTTTTCCAAACCTTGAATGTAAAATAATAGGACCAGCTTCCTGAAAATCACTCTGCAAAGAAAGCACTCGACTTATTAAGTCGATCAGAGATTCAGTTGATTCTGGAACTATTTTATTTGCGGGCCAGCACAGGTAACAATACTGCATCACTTCGCGATATGTTTTCTCCTACAAAAACTTGTTTTTCAGATTGAAATTAAATAAACCCTACTGAAACTTTATAACCATTCGCTCCCTGAAACAAATTATAAACCTGTTTTTTTTTTCGGAATAAACAATATTTAAAGATCTCAGGAGAGAAAAACATTTGAGAGATTTTCAACAATTTTCACACAGATAGCATCCTTATAAAGATATGATACAAATGAAACGGTTAAACTGAATGCATTTGAATCACTGGTTCCATATTTAAAACACAACGGATCGTAGACATTCCCATCCAGAACATAAAAATGAACATTTATATTTACCTAGCAATATATCCTCAGCATTAACGCATTTTTATTTTTTTTCTGAGAATTTGAATTTATTACCTTTGCAAACTTATAAGTGAATTTCCTGAGAGTAAATGTTGAAAATAATTCTTCGCCAACCAACTTTATAGATACTTCACTATCACGCTCAAATGTCTTCGTACGTCCCATTTCAGTTGGCCAATACTAAAGATCACAAAAATAATAATTTCGGAAAGAATCTGCTTAATATATATTTGGCCTACTTTCTACACAAGCAGACAATTAAAACTCTGAGGATTATAGCATTCATGAGATACATGATACTTTCTCAGCAGGCATGAATTCGGATTCTGATGATAGCATCACAATCGCACGTGAATTTTGTTCACTGATCATACACCAAAAATCATAGCATGTTTCATCGTTCATCGGGTCCTGAGCTAATATATAGGGGTAGAAATAACCCTGAAATATACTAACTTATATTTGCAGTTTTACTGCAGTAAGTTGTGGAAATAAAAAGGATAGCTAGATGATCAAACGTACTGCATAGAATTAAGTATATAAGTGGACGACTACAGTTTTCTGCTAGTTTTCAAATTTGGAAGAAACCTCAATTTCAATTCAGATTTACTTTTGCTTTAATACATATTTAAGGATACTTAAAAATATAACACCTTGATCAATGATGCGTTTATATATGTCGAGTCATATACACTTCCAATAACCACTGGTAAAACAATACGACAATGATCGAAAGGAACTGCATTCTCCGATCGGTTCTTGCAAACATTTTCAGGCTTATGAGCAAAGTTACAGGTTCGTCTTGGCTCCAGTGTACGCTCCAGTCTCTGTCAAAATGAAAGTTAAAATATCAAGAGCTTTTACATACTAATTAGAAATTAACAAAACCCTTACAACTGCGATTACTATTTTCAATTACTGTGTAAGTGACCATAAACTCGGAGTGAAAATCGATAAATACTGGCATAAAAAATTTCGAAATCTATTCACAAAAAGCTTTGGTTAAAAGCAGAAATGCGTAAACAATAAGCTCCTCACACATAACTTTATACCTTGTATTCAGCCTCCATCGCTGTCGATGCTCTTTCGGGAGTTGAAGTTCCATTAAATTGTTGCAACTTTGGTGTTGTTCGCTGAACGACTGCAGTTACTGCTGACAGGCTACTGGATAAATTAATTACTGGCTGTTGCTCACGATACTGAGATTCATTTAAGACGCGATAATGCTCACGAAATTGGCTTACTTCAACATCTGTTTCACCAAACATGTACCATTCAGCCAAAGCTTTGTAAATAAAAAGATACTGCTCCTAAAAAAAACGCATATCATGAGAACACCTCTCATATTAAATGAAACTCAAACACCATTCAAGTTAAATTTAGATATTTTACCTCTTCTAAAAACAGATTTTGAAATATCAGTAGCCTACTATGAAGGACGAAAGGTCAAATGCGATACAATTTTTTCAAAAAGAAATATAAGAAGCCAAAATATTTCCAAGCAGATCTCTCTGGTAATTGCCAAATATCATACCAATTTTTCGCGTTGTTTCAAAGAAAGTGAGAACTTACAGCATTTTGAACCATGGTGTTTCTTTGTTTCCTCATTTCCGATACAAAACCGAAAACATCTGCTTTACCCTCTTCTACACATTGGTCCAACAAACCATCAATAGCGATAAAAGTGCCAGTGCGACCAACCCCAGCACTATAATTACTTAGGTGGCTAGTACTAATTAACATAAGGATGGAATATTTATATAAAAAATGCATAAAAAATTAAATGTACCTGAAATATAATGAAAGTCTTAGTGATTTCACGAATGCATTTTCTATTACACAATCCAATTATTCATGGATTATTTACAACACCCAAAGACAAAGAAAATTAAGCAATAAATTGATCTAGTAAAATGACAAATCAAACTATTTTACTAACCTACAATGAACAACAACAGGGCCACGAATATAGTCGTCTAGCCTACGCAATTTAGACAAAAATCTTAATAACCCAGTGGTACATTCTGGTGCTTGCAAATCGTTCCAAGAGGTGTAGTGATATTGTGCAACATGACGTACTTCTAAAAAAAATTTTTTTTGATCTAAAAATAAAGTAGAATTATTTGAATATTTGAAATCCCTGAAGAAGAAAATCTGTTAATTCATATTTATTTCTTGGAAAATTCAGACTTTTTAGCAATTTAGTACACAAATCTTCGTTATGCACAATTATATATCCCATCTATCTACCTACATAGAAGCTTAAATACTCAAATTCGAGGTTACTGTAGACGAGACTTCGCCTAATCTTGGAAGGAACACATTATTTCTTCACTATTTCCGGTTTCTATTCCTATCTTTGTTCTACCTTAATATGTTACGACAGTCAAACACACCAGAAGGATGGAAACGGAAGTTATACAACAGTACATTCTGTCAATCAATCAGATCAAGAACCTTCCACATCACAAGCAACTTCCAAGAAGCGAGCAGTAATGGACCATGAAGATAAATGTTTATGCAACCCCTTGTTGCAGTACATCAGAAAGAAGACGAAACAAGGCAAGAAGACAAAGAAGAATGATATGATGGGATGAATAGAGAAGGATAAAAAACTATTGCTGAAAAAGTTGAGGACCCAAAGTAAAATTCTATGTTGATTTGCAATCAGGATTTGAGAAGCCTGACTTGAGGTGAATTCTGTGTGGCATATTTACCCGCCACTTGGTTTACCGCAGTAAGTATAAGCGTGTCAACATTCTCCGAGATTATTGTCCACGTCCACTCTCTATCTCACATTCTTGCAATCAGTAAAAGGTACTTTTGAATGATCTTGCAAAGCAGCTTCACGTCGCACAACAATGCTATCAAGATATGACAAGGCGGGAGAAGCCATCGACATGGAAGGCAAGCATAAAAAAGAAGATAAGTTCGGATAACTTCCACAAAACTCTCATAAAACATTTGAGGATAACAATATGAGGGAAGCTAAAAAGTGTAAGAGAAGGATGAATCACATACTCACTCTCAACGTGACTGCCATGACACCCTCGAGAGCGAATATGAGAGTTTATAAAAGCAAAATAAAAAGTCCCGAAGTGCATTGAGAATAGAAATACGCCAGATTTGAGCTATTCAGAAAGTAGTTTTATAGGAAACTAACTGAGTCACATTGTAGGGACAAAATAAATCATACCGTTCTGAGCCACGATGTAGAACTCGAAAATGGGAGACGATGATATTCGACAGAACGAATATTTGGAAGAATTAGTTCCATATTATGAAGTGCATAACATTTTCCCCTCTGAAGCCGAATTTGGGAAGACAGTCTCTTGTTTGCCCAACTGGAAGGCGATGGTCTCGATAAATTTTATTACTTTTCCATTAAGTGAACCTTAACCTGTTGCTTTTTTAGGCCAATAACTTGTATGTCGAACCTTTACAAACTGACAACGAAATGTGAAGCACGAGTCATGCAATTAGATATTGCCATGAGAAAACTATTTGCAGATAACCAATTAGGAACTGTTGGCCAAGGCGCGAAAGAGCCAGGCCCTCTTGAACCTGGTGGTATGCAGAGAGCATAAAGACCAGCTCTATCCAACATGGTATGACATTAAAAATGCGTTCGATTTAGTTAGTCAGAGCTAACAGACTGAGTACATTGCAAGACATGCCAGCATGGATATGCAAGTTTCTGAGAAGCATCATCTCCAGATAGTCGATTACACTGAAAAGCAATGGAGGAACGATAGTAGAGCAGAGAATCCTTCCAGGAGACAGCCTTTCTCCGCTGTTGTTTGTTTAATGCATGAACCCGTTCAGCCATAGGCTTAATATCAGATACGCAAAAGTGGAGGTTCCCACCGATCAAGGAATGCACCATTTACTATTTCTGAATGATCTCAAGCTCCTTGTTGCCGACGAGGATATCATGAAAGCCATGGCCGAATGAGAAAAGTCTTTTGATGTAATAGGACGAGAAGACAATCAGGAAAAGTCAGCCACTAACACCGAAGTATGCGCTGATAAGATGGCACTCTTCGAAGGAAGAACTCAAGGGTGTAAATACCTTGAAATAATGGAAGACAAGAGTTGTGCACCTACCCGTCAAAGCTACGATAAAGTTCGAGCAGAGATTTCAGTGAGAATAGACCGATTAGCCAAAACTGCTCTAAATGGCAAGAACTTTATCAAGGCAGTGAATGAGCACGCCATAAGTTTAATAAACTCTCATACTGGAGAGCTCAAAGTGGAACCAGAGGATTTTCAAGCAACTGACCATAACATCAGGCAGTTACCACATAGATATGCAATTTACAGTCAACCTGCATGTTTATAGAGAATGTACCTGCCAAGGGAACGAGCTGGGAAGTGAGTTTCGCCGCGTTGAATGAAGGAGTGAGTTATGATTTGCAGCTTCATAACGTACTTGTAGAAACCATGCCTATGTCTACAAGGAGAGCTGCGATTTTAAAGCAAGAAAAGACTCAAAACACGTACATAGCAGTTAATGCGCCTTAACTTCAGACAAAATACAACGTCGTAGAAAATCCAGCTACCGAAAACGTATAAGCAGCCGAGAGAACGCTCCTGTATAACGAAATACAAAAGACAATTCGTCATGCAGATATATAAGATGAGCGGTAATGAGCTAGCCTTAATGGTAGATTTATTAATGTGGTTAAGATTCGGAAATATTGCCCAGCAAGATGAAGCGTGACACTGTCACCTTCAATGCAAAAATATGATTTGAAGCTGGGAAAAGTATGTGCCCACATTGTAGAGAACGTGTGAAGACAGCAGACCATCTAGCAATGCAGTACAAGGAACTGCCATATGACGACCATAATAGAAGAAATAATAAGGTACTGCGTTGGATTCATTTGGGACTCTGCAGGAAGAGTGGACTGAAAGCATTTGCAAGCATGGTCATCCACTCCGTTCAGGAAATGTCGCTAATGAGAACGTGGAAACCAGAATCGACACGCGAATAGGAATTTCAATTAGAATAAAAGCGGATCGACCGGACATCCTGATATGCGATAAGAAGCGAAGTGAAGTAATCCTGATAAAGGTTGGCCATCCTGATCAGGATAGTTGATAGCAGTCGAGACCGAGAAGAAGCAAAAGTACGATTTACTGGCTAATAAACTTGGAGCAGAGATGAATTGCAAGACGAAAATGATTCCGTATATGATGACTTGGGATAAGATTGTAACGAACTTCCACAAACGCTATGCGAAGGAAATCAGTATATCTGATCACGCTGAGGCGTATATCCAGTCGACAGTGCTGAAGGAAACGCTTGAAAGCATCTCGTTCGATCAGCGCCGTGGATTCGACGACGACGAAACAGCGGAGATCAGCACAGCAGAACTGAGCGTGGGGCGAGTGCAGCAAGAATGCCAGAATATGACCCAGCGCCATGATCAATAATGAAGAAAAGAAGAATAACCTCCATGTGATATTGGTTTGATACATATGAATATCCAACTTGCATTACCTTGCAATTTACCGCTAAATTCTGTTTCAGCATAAGCATCATTTAATTGCGTATTGCTGCTACTACATCGAGAATTTCGTTTCGAATTGATAAACCTATCATTAAGGATGGAATCAGTCGAACCACGAACTGATGCTATATTTCTGGAAATAAAAAGTACGAAGTACTTGAATAACTAGTCTTGCAATCCCAAAATTTAGTTACTAAAGCCAATCTATCACGCATTTGGAGAAGCTATCATATATCAGATACTTTTCCAGAATTAAATGTAGTAGTTGCTTCAAATTAAATCTAAAATAACTCACTTCACGTTTACGATCACAGATGAAGGATGAGCAGAGCAATCTCCATTAATATTTGAAGTATCATAAGAAATAGTAGCCGGAGTTCCTGAAAGGCAACCACTAGCGCCATTGGACTGCAATCGACGAATTTCGAAGTTGCGTATCGCATAGTCAGAATAATAAATTGAAGAAACTGGACGAACTTCCAATTTATCATAAATTTTTGGTCCATCATCGGGCCAATACTTTGCACACTGGCACTAAAACTATTAGAAAATCGTCATTACAGAATCAGCTGGAATGTTTGATGATTCAGTCAAAATGAAAAGCTGACATTCCGAAAACGCATTATATTCAAAATGTGGTAAAATTTTGGCAACAAAAGTTGTTGGAATAAAGAAACAACCTTGTTTTCTCTATGATAAAAGAAAAATGATCTCTTCATTTTCACGATGAATATACAAAGAATTAGAAAAATATAAAATGCAAAATGTTATAAGATAAATAAACAAACCCGGTTCCTTTCATAAAGATTAGCAACCATAACAATAACTCGTACTTTGTGCTCCCAAATCATACGCCAAAAATCATCAGTACTGGCATCAAGCGGACCTTGCGATGCAATAAATATTTTTCGGCCTTTATATCCCTGAAGACTTCAGCTGATTACTAGACAAAAGTATAATTCTTTTTAATTTAGGTAGCTAAATTATAATCACTTGGTTTCCTATAGTGAGCTATTTTAGAAGGCTGCCTATATCGAAAATGTAAATAATCCAAATTTAACAATAAGAGAAAGTATTTTTAAATGATTGGCAGTGCGCTGAAACTCTGCAACTTCACAAAAGGCGCTATGTAGAGACTGGTTATTTGATCCCACATTCGATTTTTTTAAGTCAGCTGACATTCCGAAAACGCATTTTACTCAAACATATGGTAAAATTTTGGCAACAAAAGTTGTTGGAATAAAGAAATAACCTTGTTTTCTGTATGATAAAAGAGAAATGATATCTCTATTTTTCGTGATTTACTTTGTCTTTTTCTACCAAAAGAACAGCGTAAATCACGAAAAATTAAGGAAATAAATGTACTTTTTTGCTATTAATTACCTTGACAAAGTTAGCGTTAATATAATCAGTTGATGGATCATTTCCAATAATAGATAACTTCACGCGCGTTGAGTCAAATGCTTTGATATCGTTGTAGCGATTTTTATGAGCATTTTCGGCTCGTTCAGATGTACATGATTCCAATGTTCGATAATTTGGTAAAGCCTTAAAAAAAGGCATACTTTCAAGTAACACAACACGACCATGTCAAGTTCCAGTAAAAAACAGAAAAAATGATTTACAGTTACTAATTATAGAAATTATAAAAATCAGTCATTAGCTAAAATAGTAGGGATGATAAAGAGCCAGTACTGCGTAATTTGAAATGAAAAGACAAATATACGTCAAATTCCGAAATACACAAATAACTGCTGTCCCGTCGTCGGATTGTGTATTCATCGGGTAAATCTTCCACAGGTGTTGCATGGAAATGAGGCTTTAGAAGTATCCGATCCTTCGTTATTGGGCACAACTGCTTTATCATTCCATGCCTACAAATAACTTAGTGGTCAGAAAATCGTAAATTAATAGTAAATCATATTTTTCTCCACTTCGTTAATTTCTTTGTCTAATTAATGCAACATTGAGAATAAGTGAAAATTCGATGTCACTGGTTCTGAGACAACAGTAGTGCGACATCAATTTGGCATACAAGCAAAATTAAGGTTTTACCAGAGTTTTCAGTACCGTGTTATATACTATCAACAAAAAATGAGGCACTAATATTCTAAGCAGAATTAACATTTTTTGAGCAACAAAAAGACTGATTCCATACCAGCTTACACTGATAAAACTTTAATTTCCATTCCATTCTATCGCTACTACAAAGACAAAAAACTCATTAGCAAATGAAAATTGTCATTAAAAAAATGTGTTTGCAGAGAAATATTCTAATCTTTATACCTGTGCAAAATATAGGTGACGAATGAAGATACAAGCATGATGAACAAAATCAAAGATAATACAGTGAACAGCACCGTCATCCATGACTGTATCAGTCGCTCTTCAATATACCAAACATTCAATAATTTATTAGCAAACAATTTAATAGCTATTTCACTGCGAATTTGCAACATGTTCTAATGTTAGTCTTTCGTTTTAAGAAGAAAATAGAATAAAAAGACTACCAGAAAAGTATATTTTAATCCTGAGAAAAAGATACATTTTCAGTGAGAACATCACACTATTTTTCATATGATTACTAACTATGCGTAGATAACTACAAATTAATAATAACTGAAGTTAGCAATCAACCTTTTGTGGTCGAAAAATAAATATCTTAAAACCCATGAAGAAGTTCACATATAAATTCAATGATAAACTTTAGTTATTATTAATTAATATTAATAAATATTGATAAGTAATATTAATAAATATTGATAAACTTAGGTCAAGCTTCGAAAAATCTGCATTTAAAAAAATGAATTAAAGACGTCTAAAACACACCATCAAAAGCTTCCAAAATTACAGGTTTGAAGTACCCACTAAAACCATATGCTGGACCACTCATAATTAGATGTCGCGATGACCTTAAACGGCTCGAAAGTTCCCAGTTCTCTCGATAACTGAACCAACGGCTTCGATCCAGAAATTGCTTTTCTATACTCTGATATAATCGCCTTCTAAAAAATAACTTTTTGTTCGTTATTTTTTTCAAATACCAAGTTCCATAAAAAACACTTTATGACAAAAACTCACAAAAGAAGTTTAGGAATTTCGATGAATGCATAAAACAAGATCCTACCTTTTTCTCTTGATAAAAAAAGGATCATTTTGTCGAAAAAGTTCATCACGAGTAGTAGAGTCGCGATCGACACGGGCAATTAAAAACCCGGTATACTTTAAACCAGATTTCAAAGCCGGATCTTCAGGTCGATGGCGGCTTAAATATCTGCAATGTACGAAAAATTATTTGAAAGCCAAAATAATTACATAAATTATTTAATAAGCCCATTTTTTGAAACATACAAAACATTGCATGGTTCCACACCACCTGTCGTATTACCATCACCAATCAACGTTTTCTTTGGATACTGCATGTAACTTTCTGCAATGTATGCAAAATACCGACGTTTTTGTCTCGTATCCTAGAATAATAAAAACAATACTACACTACAGAAAAGATGAAGTACAAACTTCGATATTTATAAATTTCACATGAAAACGCTTGAAATGAGGTTCAAAATGGAAATTTTTGGCATCTAATCCAAACAAGAAAAAAGTGCTACTAAAACTAATTAACAAGTTCCAATCCAAAGAAAAATATAAATTAAAAACAAACTAAACTTTCACTTTTTTTTTCAATATCAATGTATCTTTACGATTATAGTATAATTTGAGACAAAGAATATTGATTTTGAGTAAAGAATGTAAACACTATCATCTACGAAGCTGTGAGCATTGAAATTCTAATGCATAAAAACTAAAGAAATACCTGCTTTATCTGCTCATTCTGCATGTTGTTGTTCATCGTTTTCAAGAACGTGTCAACAATTAGGGAATCAGGTGCTGGTAAACTTTCGATAACCACATTCGGTGAGAGAGGCACAATTGCAACATAGTAACATCTGCAAAAAAAAAAAATTGTACCAATATTAATAGAAGCAGTTCTCAAGGTATAATTCCAGGTACAAATCTATCTTTGTTTTGCAATAAACACGTGCTAATGAGAACTGAATATGCGAAAACTACTTTTACAAAAATTGCTATACAGGAGCTGGCATTAAAAGAGTGACTCTTGAAGCTGATAAAGTAAAGTAAACTCTTTTACAAATTTTTCCTAAATTATTTTCAACAGTATTGCAAAATGACACATTAACAACTGAATACATTAAGTGATAATATTATATATTCATCGCAATATTACAACTGCAGTTCCTATTTCTGGTAACAACCATAAGTTACTGACGCCACAGGCCCATTCATTTCATCCGGTTCGCTAGCAAATGTGAGACCGAAAGTTGTTCCGTTTTGAGGCAGTGAAGCTGGTGCATCAACAGCATCTGGCTGTGCATAGTCCGTTACACATTGTTCTGGATATGACGCATTCTCGCTTCTACCGACGCCATTTTCTGCCCACACCAGCGCCGTATAATTACGATTTGGCTGCAAATATCATCGTTTTTAGCGAGTACAATGTAACTAAAAAAGAAATTAACTTCAGCCACTCTGTTAAATTATCGACTTTACTTCAAAAAGTAAAATCCGAGAATGGTCATATGAAAAGTAATCACAAAAAGAAATAAATTACCATTGAAAGGAATTTAACTGTAACAAGATTTACCAACTCTGAGGAGAACAAATAAAATGTCATTTGCGATAAAATTAATCATTTTAACTACTCACAGGTTTTGCGAATGAAAATTTGAAATACAACACCTTTAATGGTCCGAAACGACAGGAATAAAAATCTGCAATAGCATCTGCACTAGTAAAACTCTTGTCGTCATTATTATAATTAGAACACTGACTCTTCTCTTCGGCAGGAAAATCATCATTTGAAATTGTACCTCCAGGCGAAATATGTCGTACTTGTCCTCGTACTGTTACCTGTTAAAACTGAATGCTTCACGGAAATTCAGCATAGCAGATCGCTTCAAATTAATGCCTTACAGAAAAAACTTGAATCAAAATTGACAAAAACATACGTAATACTTAGTGATCCTTCCATTTGGTGTCTTAGGTGGCATCCATTCAACTTCACAATACAAACCCCCTTGCAAGTTCAGAACACGTATTTCACCCAAGGTCGGTGGTTCAGGAGCTGAAAACGAAAGATTAAAGAAACAAATTTTGAACTGAACTGATCACCCATTTCGTTGAAATCCACTCTCCGTTCTCACAATAAATAATCAACCAAACATCAACTAAAAGTTGAACAGAAGTAAAGCTAAACACTTATAGATTCTTTTCCAATATTTTTAATATTTTGTTATCCGCGAATAGAACTGCTCAAAAATTTATCATATAATCAGAAAGTTTCACTTCCAGAAAAAACTAGTACTTCCCTGTATCTAATAATTAAATACATTGAACCTCCGACTTAGTCATCAAGATCGGGTGAAAAAATTTGGTTTGAACATTATAATATGTTCATTATAATATTCCTCACACCAACTCTCATTTCGAATGCGGTCCTGAACCAGTACAAAAACAAATCTTTACCACTTTCCGATGTTGTAAAGTGTTCGGTTATTTTAAATGGTTCATTTTGGCCATCAAAAACTGATATGAATAATGTGTACGGCGTTGCAGGTAATAATTTCCCAACTACTACTCCCGACTCAGCATTTCCATCAGACCATACCTCTACTCCATCTGTTCGCCGCACCAATCTGTATGACAGATTTATATTAAGCAACATGACTGGGTTGCATTTGAATATGAATCGTATTTTTACTGATCTTGTTCACTTATGTGTTACATTTCTATTTACATTGTCTTACATTTTTTAATGGTTTTTTTTAATGTGTCATTCTGCACTACAAACAAAAAAGTGTTACGTAATGAAATGACCAATAGGACTGATTAGAAAAGCTACGTATGTACTTGAAATCGATCTTCAACATTGGTCCATCATCCTGTGCATCCCATCTGATTTCAGCGTGTGTAGCATTAGCTTTCACCGTAACATTTTGAATCATTCGCGGTGCTGCAAAATTTCCAATTTTTGCTCAGTCATTTACACCGTTCCGCCCATTAAAAAGCATGCAATCTAGCGAAGAGCATGCAGAAATGACACCATGCATGCATCATTTATATGTATTCATGTCTAGAAAAAGAGACAGGTGAAACCAGGCAGTTCCGGGATATGATGTGGAACTCGGGGGTGGGAAAGGATGAGAATATCTGGAAGTATTCGTTCTAAAATATGAAGTGCATGATACTTCGACATCTGAAGCAGGATTTGAGAAGTTAGTTACCTGTTTTCCTCATTGAAAGACGGTAGGCACAGATAGAGTATATTACATTTTAAATAAGATATGCAACTCATTTATATCAATCACTCAATATATACACAATTCCATATATATATGGGATTGTGACTTCCACAAATGCTACGAGAACGAAACGAAATGACAAGCACAACAAATCTGAGCGCGGGACAAGTACAGCCAGAGTGCCGGAATACGATCCAGCGCCAAAACTAATGATACAAAAAAGAATGACCTTCGTGTGATACCGTGATTTGATTATATATTTATATGAATATTGAAACGGTATGAGTATCTGAGAAACTATATATTCGCTTATTTACACATATTAGAAAATGAACAAAAGGGTACAGTTTGATACATACTGCGTATTTTCTATCGTAACACATGTACTATTTCCTCTTTAATCAAGGTTCCCGCAAATGAAAATTTCCTAGAGCTTTAACAACTTCAGCAAATATAACCATCAAGCAACTAATAAGTCTCATGAATAAGAGATCATTTTTTCCACTCGGATTCTGAACTTTTAATGGAAAGTTAAATGTCGAGAAACTATGTATATGTTGAAGAGTGCTAGAAGCTATGAATATGAAAGGTTTTAAAACCAAGCATGCATTATGAGACATCGGCAGGTAATTGGTACATGGTAATATACCACTAACTCACTTTTCTCTTTATTTTTCTTGACTTTTCGTCGTTCAGCAAGCCAATCCACAAATTTTGATTTGAAGGATGTTTGTTTGCGAGTGGAAAGATTAGTTTGATCTAAGATGTTTTTTTGTGATCTTCCTGGGAGCATTTGTGGCATTTGAAAATGCTAGTAAAATATTCTGGCACCCCAAAGAAAAAGACAAAGAAAAAAAAGTCAACTTAACGCTTCTGGTTACAACAAAGATCATCTACTAAACCCAATACTTCCTTTGGTTTTTATAACTTCTAAAAGAAGAATCTATCAATAACCTTACTAAGTCTTTACTCAATTTTAAGACTTACTAAGTCTTTACTTGTTATATATATATAT